GGGTAAAAGCCTCAGAGCCTAGGGCTTGCCGATCGAAAGGTTGGCAGTTCAAATCCCCGTGGCAGGGTGCGCTCCCGTTGCTCGGTCCCAGCGCCTGCCAACCTAGCAGTTCGAAAGCACCCCTGGGTGCAAGTAGATAAATAGGGACCACTTACTGGCAGGAAGGTAAACGGTGTTTCCTTGTGCTGCGCTGGCTCGCCAGATGCAGCTTGTCACGCTGGCCACGTGACCCGGAAGTGTCTGCGGACAGCGCTGGCTCCCGGCCTATAGAGTGAGATGAGCGCACAGCCCTAGAGTCTGTCAAGACTGGCCCGTACAGGCAGGGGTACCTTTACCTTTAAGTAAGTAAGGTGACTGGCCACAAGCCACACATTTTGAGGTACCATTAAATAGCAGTGACTAGTCAATAGGAACATAGGAAGCCGCCTTGTACTGAGTTAGTCCACTGGTCCACCTAGCTCACTAGTGGCTGCACTGACTGGTAGCACCTCCAGGACTTCAGGAAGGAGTCTTGCCCAGCCCTACCTTGGAGATGATGGGCTGGTAAAGGTAAAGGGCCCCTGACAGCTAAGTCCAGTTGCGAACGACTCTGGGGTTGCGGCACTCATCTTGCTTTACTGGCTGAGGGAGTGGACGTTTGTCCGCAGACAGATTTTCCAGGTCATGTGGCCAGCATGACTAAGCCGCTTCTGGCGAAACCAGAGCAGTGCACGGAAACACAGTTTACCTTCCCACTGGAGTGGTACCTATTTATCTACTTGCACTTTGATGTGCTTTCAAACTGCTAGGTTGGCAGGAGCAGGGACCGAGCAACGGGAGCTCACCCCATCGCAGGGATCCGAACCGCCGACCTTTTGATCGGCAAGCCCTAGGCTCAGTGGTTCAGACCACAGCGCCACCCACTGCGCTGGTACATCCTCCTAATTATTTAAGTTTATGTAGTACTATATTTTAACACCACTGTATGTGACATTTGGCTTTCCCCTGTCAGGCACCTTGGCCAGACTGTGGCTGGGTCACAAACCAGAGTAGTGGCTCAGTGTTAAAAAACAGTATTGCCAGCAAAGCTCCCCAGGCTTCTCCTCATCTGCCTTCTCATTTGCCTTTCACTGTTTAGTTAATAACTTATTTGTTCACTGGGGCTTTTAAAAAAAACCAAGCAAAAGTTGCTCCCCTTGTTCTGCTGCTATTTAAATGTTACTTATATATTTTTTAATTTTGCTTCAGTTTATTTTTTATTTTCCTTTATTTTTATTTTATGTATTGTTTTTATTGCAGAGGTTAATGGTTGGTTGCACGTTGCCCTTTGGCAACTTCTTGGGAAGATGATTTTGTACCTATCATGCAAATGAAATCTAATTAAGGTTTTTGACTACGCGCTTCATCACTGAATCCTACTTTTCCCTGAGAAGATGTTTGGAAGTGCTGCTCATGCAGTCAATATCACAGGCTCAAAATGTAAGATTAGCAGGGAAGAAAGAATCCAGGACGAATAATGAGAGATGTGCATAATAAATAAATAATATCCAGAAGTCAGGGAGGTTGATATGCTCTGAGAAGGAACATTTAATATGATCTTCTAATCCTTTCTAAAAACCATACAGTTATTTTGTAATTCTTTCCAAGGAAATGAGGTTAGGTCTGTCCGTTAAACCAGCCTCAGCTGTGCATCACGGGGAGTCATGTTGGGTATTTTTGAATCATCTGCCAGAGAAAATTCATATCATAATTTAAAATAGCAAGATTAAACTGTGGTGCATTTATGGAGGAATTGGAATTGGCTGTATCTGGAGATGGACAAATCTCTCAAGTTCAGCTCTCCAAGTTTCTCAACATTTCTGCAACAATGTGTAATTTTAAATTCTTCATGAAAATTCATCAGCAAATCTTAGTGCAAATTTCTCCCAATAAACCTATTTTTGTATGCAGTTTTGACTAATATACAAATTTGTGCAAGCAATTTCCCCTAATATAATGCATTTTGTATTCTTCTTTCACTAATATATGCATTTTGTGCACACTTTATCCTGGTAAGGTAAAGGTAAAGGGACCCCTGACCATTAGGTCCAGTCGTGACCGACTCTGGGGTTGCGGTGCTCATCTTGCTTTATTGGCTAAGGGAGCCGGCGTACAGCTTCGGGGTCATGTGGCCAACATGACTAAGCCACTTCTGGCAAACCAGAGCAGCGCACGGAAATGCTGTTTACCTTCCCGCCAGAGCAGTACCTATTTATCTATTTGCACTTTGACATGCTTTTGAACTGCTAAGTTGGCAGGAGCAGGGACCGAACAACGGGAGCTCACCCCGTCGCGGGGATTTGAACCGCCGACCTTCTGATCGGCAAGTCCTAGGCTCTGTGGTTTAACCCACACCGCCACCTGCGTCCCTACTTTATCCTGGTATATACACTTATTAGTTCAGATTTGTTTCCTGGAGAACCTCATTACAAAATCTGAAGACGTGTGAATTTTGAATGGTAGTTGTGTTTCGGTTTGCATATTATTGTTATTTTAAATGGTAGGTTCACCTTTAGATGTGAACAGAATCAATTTTCTCCCCAGCTGTATCAGATGTTGCATAAGTCATATATTGTTGCCACTCACTGTCTCCCATAGTTATGATCTTGACTAACGTTCAGATTGTGCCCTAAAAAAATATTCTATATTACAATTTCTCTCAATGCATAAGAACTGACCTGCAGACAAATGCTTTTTAAAAACATACAGTCACAAGTCATTGTCGTACCTATTGGGGGCGGGGAACTAGCTGGGTTTTTTTTGCCCCGGATGAAGTCTCCAGAGGATCACCATTGAGGCTCACAGCCTGTGTAAGCAAATCTGCATGGGTATGTGTACCAAATTGGGTATTTGGCCCGGGGAAAATAAAGCCTAGTTTCGCCCGTGCACAACATAATATGGGATTCCTGCCTGATAGTTTAAGGATTACCAACTTAGAATAGTGGTAGAACAACTAATGCCAAAAATAAAGTGAATCTGTACTATAATGATTTATGCACTGGTGTGAATCTAGGAGATTTATGAAGCATGCAGTAGAGCTAATTCTGTGGGGAGGGGCTCGGAGCTCCTGAAAACAGGATTGACATCAAAATAATAACTCCATTTGTACATAAGAAAATAGGAGCCTAGGAAGAGACCTTCTGGATCAGACCAAAGGCCTATCTAGTCCAGCATTCAATTCTTGCAATAGTCAACCAGAAGTTTACTGTCTCCCTCACATGCCGCTGCAGAAAGTACTCATCATGATTAGCAGCCATTGAGAGCCTTTTCCTCCATAAATGTGTCCAACAATCTTTTAAAGCCATCCATCATGGCGACTGTGTCTACAGTCTTGTATTCTTGTAGCTCTGTAATCTGGTGTATGAACTTAAAAGGCTCCTTCAGCAACAGCTAGGATGTTCTCACTGAAGAACCTCCCAGCTTGCACTGTCATGGGGTTCCAGTATGAACTTTTTACAGAGTCACTTGCATTCCAATTCGTTTCCTTGCCAGAATGGCTGCTCGTGCTATTAATAAAGCTTACAGTGAAAGAAAGAAACCTACAAGATGGTTAAGCGTTTCACCTTAACTCTGCTTCTTAATGACAATAGGGTCATATGATTTACTTTACTGTTCGTCACTGTAATGTACTTTATGGGGGAAATACAAGCAGACCCCACCAAGACTAGAAATATAAGCAAAGAATCGGGGGTGGGGGGTGGTTAGAATGCAGGAAGCACAGTTGGTGCAACAGTTCAGAGCAAAAAACCACATCAAGCATTACTTTCTTTCTTTTTTTGCATTAGAGAAAGTAAAATCACATGGACTTTAAAAAACTATTATCACAATAGGATGCCTTCTAGATATATACTTTCTTGTGATCTGAATAAGAACTGAGATTTAGTTTATGGTAGGAGATGGCTGTTGATCTGCAAGGACCAAATACACCATAAATACATATTTGTATTTAATATGCATATTTTTTAAAATGCAAATAGCCACTGGCAGGAGCCCGGCAGATAAATGTTTGAGACTGCAGCATATGTGGAGGGAGTGTTTAATTTTTTCCTGCCCTCTTGTTATTCAGATGAAAACTGATCTTCCAAAACTGCACTTGCATTAGGATGGAAGCTCACATGCGTCTCTGTATGCAAGTACCCTGCTGAATCAGACCAAAGGTCTATTTAGTCAAGAATCCTGTTTTCTAACAGTAGTCAAACATGCCTCTTGGAAGTTGTGGCGGGACTATATTCTATCCCTATGTGTAAGCATAGGAAATGTTGTGGCACTTTGGGGAGAAGAGCCATAGCTGAGTGTCTCTGATCGTGATTTGTATGCAGGAAATCCCGGGTTCCACCCCTGCCAACTCCAGGAAGTTCTGGGAAAGACTGTTGCCTGAAGACTGGGATAGCTGCCTCCAGTTAAGAGGAGAAGAACCAATGGCCCAATTTGGTATAGGCCAGCTTCCTATATATTCCTATATATTGTGAGAATGCCACAGAGCCCCTCTTGTGTCTTGTGGAGTGTTGCCAACTCTTCTCCAGCCTGGTAACTGGAGCCAAACCCTCCATAAGATACAGGAAGTTTCAAATATAGTGTAATATGCATAAAAGTGGCACCCAAAGGCTGCCCACCCACCAATGGTTTCAGAGGTATCATTTTCCAGGAGTCTAGATGTTCAGGGTGTGTGAACTCCTGCTGGTTCCTGCCTGTCCACCAGCTGGCACAGATATGGTCCTGTCAGCAAGGCCTTGTGCTGCCTTCGGGGTTTGTTTCCTCAGCTTGTTACAAGGTTGCCCAATGAGAAAACAGACTTTTCCCCAGCGCATTTCCTGAGCTCCTAGTGAAGGCGTGAGAAGCCTCCATCTGGATGAGTCCATAGTCCACAAAGACTGGCCACAAGACCAGAGAGAGGAAACAGCAGGCAACTTTCAGATCCCTTTCTGACTTACAGTTCTTTGAAACGCACATAGGCTTTTCTTTTCTTGGCATTATAAACACAAATGTTGAATGGAAAAAACCTAAGTGGGGACTTGCAGGAGGGTTTTCAGGGTGGACTTTTTATCACCCAACCTCTCCAGTTGTACCGATTTGATTGCCATTGCATCTGCTATCTAACTTCAGTGGTGAGTAGCACGTTCTTAGCATTTATTTGCAGGGGTTTACTGTCACATTCTTAGGCTTAAGGCGCCTCTTCTTGCACAAAAGGAGTGCGTGCTGCTGACCCACACCTGCAAAAACATGTGACTCACCAAGCCAAATACTGCAATGTACTGTGGTCCACCAGGTGTTAAGCAACCTTCCTGCTTACACAGTCTTAGTCAGACAGCATGCACAGGTGGTTTCTTGAGCTCCTTGTTGGGTGCTGTGCATGGACTGATGGCCTCTATTCCTCTTGTTTGGTCATGATTTGTACATGCCCACTTTAGTGCCTGTCACTGCAGTCTGATTGAGCCACGGAGCTGTGAATAAAAATCCCACTTCAAAACTGCAGAAAAATGCTCAGGGCCTTTAAATAACTCCTTTCTCCTAGAATTACATAGTTACTTTGGACTGGAAGGCTGTAAATTAAGTTTCTGTTTTGGTTCTAAGACCATATGGTATCATTTTAAAGTCTTAGACTGGTATATCACACTGAAATTACACAGAGAGTGCTAATGAGATCCACTTTTGTGATACCCCAGAGGGCTCTTCTGAAAAATACCAGACACAGGTCAGTTGAAAGCTTATAGTTTCAAGGCATGAGCTGCTTACTCCATGTGCAGAATGGCTTCTTCACAACTGCTGCATACTTAGGAAGCCCAGCTGATCTTTCTATATTGAACAGGTTCTTATAAGCATCTTGTAGACAAAGTCTAGAAAAGCCATGTCAATGCCAGTGCTTGAGCATGCTGGCTGGGGTGAAAGGGACTGCAGTCAAGCAACTTGGAACACCTCTAGTTGTCCCTTTTATTGTGTGGGGGCGGACCATGTGGATCAGCCCCACCTCCCTGCAGAGGGGAAAGGTCATGGAAAAGTCTAGTTGCACCAGGAAGCGATCTGACCATGGCACTTCTTTGTTATGCTGGAACTTAGTGTCAGATCACCCGCGTCCACAGAGGTAAACACCAGATCTAAGGCATGTCCACGGCAATGAGTCAGGCCACACTTATTCTGGGACAGCTTCATGGAGGCCTTGCTTTCCAGAAAGTCGTGAACGGCCCCTTGTGAGGTTGTGTTGGCATAGATGTTCTAGAGCATGAGACATCATTGGCTAGGTGTTGTGGATTTAAATTCCTCTATCACATCATGGTAACTAACTGACAAAGCCAATTCTTGCTCAATGTACAAAATCATGAATGAAGGATGGTCAGGGTGGGGTAGACAACAATGCAAACAAACAAGGACAAGAAAGAGGTAAAGAGGCAAAAAGCTAACAGAGCAACCACAATAAACAGGGTCAAGAAGCCAAAACAGGAGACCAGAGGCAGGGCATATCTGGAGGGATGAGGGTGGGATGGCTCCTCCCCCCTGTTTCATGCTATAAAAGCAGCCCCTCACCCACAAACAGTGGCAAGCAAAGCTCAGATGGAGACAGGGCCATCAGACAGACATAGACAAAGGCAGAACAAAAAGGATGGAAAGAATCTGCAGCTGCCGCCTGTGCCACTTCCAGGGACAGCAGAAGATGCAGATCCATTCCAGCCTTTTTGTTCTGCCTGTGTCTTCTTCCCTGTGAGTCATGCTAGGTGAAGGAGCTGGGTTGCCGCTCCATACTCTGTCCTTCTCACCATGATTATCAGGTTGTTGTTGTTGTTTTAAAAAAACTTTGTCAGATGGTCTAAGGCAGGGGTGCCCAAACTTTTTACAAAGAGGGCCAAGATTTGATGAAGTGCACATGCGTGAGGGTCGACCAAAGTTGCTGAGCTTTTTTTAGGCTCCCAAAATGGACTTTGGACATGCCTGGTCTAAGGCCAGGGTGAAAATGTGTTTCTTCAGATGAAAACTACATAATGAGGATGCCAGACACACTTCTGTGGGGAGCAAATTCTACACCTTAGAGGCGATGACAGAGAATGCCCCCTCCTGGACTGCTACCCCCTCCCCCCAGCTTCTAAGGGTGGTAAAATGATCAAGGCGGGCCCCCTCTGCCTCCCTGAGCCTCTAAATGCTTATAGTTTCTTATTGATTGACAATTGGGTTGGGGGATGCACATCATGAGATTAAATTCCCCTTCCTACATGATACAGGGAGTTTCAAGAGGGAAGAAAGAGGAAAGAGCACTTTTCCCACCCTCTAGGACTTCCCCTTCCACACTACATAGAAATAAATCAAAAACTCAGATTCAGGGCTGACACTAACAGTCACAAACCTGAGTCCCAAACCCAAAACAGTCCCAAAACAGTCCCATTCCAAGGCAGGAGAGGTTTCAGAGCAGGGGTAGGGAAAAAAGTATGTTCCCGCACTATCTTTTCTAAAACTTTTTTGCCCCTCTGCAAATATCCAACAGTCCTTCAAAATTGCTGTTCCACGATGACTGGATCCTGTTAGCGTCTGGGAAGTACATTGATATATTTTGTGGTATTTTGTGGTTCCCCTTTGTGTGCATTTGCAATATCCTATCATTTTGTTAGCCTTTTATGTTACTGTATCTCCTTTTTAAATTTTTGCTTTTTAATAACTTATTTGGAGTGTCTATTGCTCCGACACACACATCCTTTTTTCAGCCTTTGTTCACTTGCCTTCTATGGAGAAATCTAGATATTGTCATCATCATCATTTATTTATTTTTATGCTGCCCATCTAACTGGGTTGCCCCAGCCACTCTAGACAGCTTCCAACAAATTAAAACATCAAACTTCCCTATACAATCAGCACCATCCAACGTTTTCTGTGTTTTCTCTGAAGTGTGGCAATTATTTTTCCGCACAATACAATTGCAGCACCAGCCTGTCCAGTGTGGGCAGGGAAATATACATCTCAGGGCTTCTGTGCCTTTCATTTAATATCTCCTGTTTGCAGGTCTAACCTTGCAATTGCTTCTCTTGCAGAGGATTTCTTACAGATAGCTTCCTGCAATTACTCCAGAACACATTCCCAGAGGGGAGGCTTTGAAAACTGCTTTCTTCTCAGTATTCTCTTTTTGTTTTTCCTCACATAAAACAGAACTACACTGTAAAAAAACCACAAAAACTTGACAAGGAAAGCAGTTATAAAGACCTCCCCTCTACATAAGAAGAGAGATGATTTTGCTTCAAGTAACAGAGGTCATTCAAGAGCAAATGAGACCCTATTCTTCATTAATCCCACCCAACCATAATCAATACCAACCATCAATCAATAGGAAACTATAAAACAGGCAGGACCTGCAGGAAACTGTCTTGTTTCAGGCTAGACCCAGACTGGTGAGGATCCACAGCAAGGTGTGCAGGCAGTCCAGCAAGCAGTGAAAGCAAAGTGAAGAGCCATCTCAGTCTGGCCACACAGAGGTAGTAGTTCAATCAAGGGCCCATAAACAGTAGGCCAAGCTAAGTGTCCAAGAGGAAGGCACAGGGTTGATGGGAATACAATCTTCCAGGTTACTCAAACGCTGGATCCAGACACATCAAAGAAGCGTTTCAGTTAAACACATTGCAAACTTTGTATGAGAAATCAGGTTAGCAAAAACAGAACTCCATAGTACCATCTGGTGCCACAGTGTTAGAATGCATAAACAACGCATATAAAGCACTTTTTCTTTGCCAGTGTAGCTGAATCCCAAGACTTGTATCAAGGCTTTTAAGACAGGGCCCAACCCAGAGCCCAGCTAAAGCCCAAGGTTTCTGCAGAAAGCCCTCCTTATGAGGAGAGCCCTACTCTTGAGGAGCCTTTTACTCACAAGGAGTCCTTCTCTGCAACTGAGCACTTCTCATTACTGTGAGGACCTCGGTGTGCCTCTTGAGATGCCATTGCTCTCGGGGGATATTCTGTCTCTGCTTCATAAGAGGAGGCATCTAATGTGAGCATGACAGGCAATGATCTTTGGCTGAATGGAATTTAGAAGTGAGCAAACATAACAGAGGGCGTGGGGCATGGAGAAAGTCACTGCTGGATGATAAAACTCCAAAGTGTATTGCGGGGCCTCCGTTTTAATTTCACTCTCAATTTCGTAAAAGCAGTGCCTCAGCAACATTAAAGAGCTTTAACATGGGTGTAACCAAACTGCTATAGATATGCAGTATACACTGTTACTCATTGCATACGTAATACCAAATCTATTTATCTATTATTGTTTCTGGTGAGGGCTAAAGCCATAAATTGAAGATTTTTGCTGTATATCCAATGTGGGCATTTGTATGCTATTCTTGTTTTCATAATTTGAAAGCTACAGTGTTTCCAGATCAGTAAAAAATGTCCTTAAAAAAACTTGTAGCAGGTAAATATAGAAATCAGTTTCATAATATTCACAATATTCCAAGCCTTTCTATAACTATTGAAAAATGCTACATTTCTGCATTCAGCTTCTAACTTTTAGTTTAGACTAATTTAGCAGCTCTAATAAAATTGCTCAATAAAGAAAGGTTTTCCATTGCCAAGCATCAGAACAGTAATACTGTTGGGTTATTTCAAAATCTTTGTTGAATTCTGAACTAAGTCCATGCCAATTTTGCATGGACAAGATATTGCAATATTTAAAATGGAAAGAGAATTGGAGCATTGAAAAGAGAATTGCAGAAGAGCTAAAATTTTGTGGTAGTTACAAACATAAATCATATTACAAAACCAAACACTGTTTGGGAATTGTGTCTTACTGGGCAGAAAGTCCCAGAAAATACATACTGTGACAATTAGCTGTCTACAGAAGCACCAGGACTAAACTTCAAAATACTCAGAGAAATGCAGTGCACTGACTGAAGGATCAAATTTTCAATTGCAGAAAATGAAATGGTTTCATTCATCCATTCTTTTTGATTCTCTGCCATCTCAAAAATGCTTCCCCAAAAGTTGAAAGCCAGTTCGAATCCTATGTTTCTAAGAATGTCCTGTTTCCATGAAGTGAAAGATAACATGAGCTTTTGGCTGTTGTGTTCTGTTGGCATAAGAATAAGGAGATCTACAAGTGTTCTGTCAAAACTGGGCTAGGACAATCCCCCAATATACTTCCATGGTCTGATTTACCGGTACTTATTAATCTGTAGTACCAAACTACTTTTAAATTTTAGCTTGGATTCTGTAATCTCCGTAATGATGTTATAGTTTGTACCGCTATACCCCTCTGATTGTGGTGATGATACATATTCTGCCCCCTACTATATTTCCCCCTACTAATACCACTCTTGTGCTGGATCCTAAAAAGTGCTGATATGCCCCAGCTAAGGCTCTCAACTATTCTAAGGTCTAACCACATCGGAGAGATAATGTTTTAATGCTTTCCAAACACTGCTTCAATACATTTTCCACCATTCATGCTGATATGTATTGTTCCAGCCGACATACATATCTGCAGTGTTTTGCTCTTCCCCAATCCTATCCTTTTTGACTGGCAGAGGACATAATGTTGGTCTTTGAATGCTCATGTCTAACAATTCCTCCCTCTTGCAGCCCTCTGAAGATCTGATATCCTATGAGTCAGACATCTACAGGCAATCCCATGACAGTTACCAGTATCTGAACAGTGATGCAGATAGTCATGGCGGTAAGTGAGCTGTAAGGCCTCTGGGAAGAATAGAGTGATGGGTTTGGGGACATTTGGAGGAGGAATGATGTGTCTTGTCTATTAAGCACATTTTTCAGTAATGATGTTTCATATGCTTAATGCCAGCACTGCCACTGAGTTAAAGCAATTCCAGACCACTTGGATTACATTAAAGAACACAAGTAACTTTCAGGAAGTAGTTAACTGTTGCACCATCATCTCATAGACCAGGTGCAGGGAATCTTTAGTCCTCCAGATGTTGCAAAACTACAACTCTCATCAACCCCAGTTAGCATGTTCAATGACTAGGAATGATCTGAGTTATAGATCAGCAATGCCTAGGGAGTCAAACATTTCCTGCTCCAGTCATAGACCATAAGCTAGATTGTTTGCTTATTTTCATTGCAGCTCCCACAACACAATATATTGGTGACAAGGGATTGTTTGCTGTAAAGCAGGCATGGCCAAACTTGGCCCTCCAGATGTTTTGGGACTACAACTCCCATCAGCCCTAGCTAACAGGACCAGTGTTCAGGGAGGATGAGAATTGTAGTCCGAAAACATCTGGAGGACCGAGTTTGGGGATGCCTGCTGTAAAGGCACCTCTGAAATTGTTAGAACAACATTCTGGAGTCAGACTAAAGCTGCATGCACACAAAATTTTATTCTAGAATCCATGGAATCCAAGTCCACGCAGTCTAGATCTATTGCAGGCATGGCCAAACTTGGCCCTCCAGATGTTTTGGGACTACAATTCCCATCATCCCTGACCACTGGTCCTGTTAGTTAGGGATGATGGGAGTTGTAGTCCCAAAGCATCTGGAGGGCCAAGTTTGGCCATGCCTGATCTATTGTATATATTTTTGCCCTTGAAAAGCACATACTGAGAAATTATTAAAACTGATTCTGTATTACTCAGCAGTGTATCCATTTGAAAACCACAATAGGGGGCGTATCAACACCTGTCCAATGGCATTGTTGGTGGGTATATACCAAGATCACAATCACCACTTCCTTCTTTATTCACCTGGGGCATGTTCAGGGAGGAAAAGATGTGGATAATCTAATCAAGAGGAGAATTTTCAAAGGTGTATCAAGAAGCCATAACCATCCTTGTAGATGGCACATCTAGACTCAATCTAGATTGAAAGCAGCATGTTGAGGACGAACAGGAATGATACCGGATTGAGAAAAACTACATTTTGTGTGTGTGCTACAAATGGATTAGTGTGACTGCAGCCTACGTCTGTTAGAAAGGAAGGGAAGTGTTCCCCCCGCCATCTCCACTATGACTAAAATGGCTGCATTAAGCAATATTTGAAGTGAGTAGGCCAGCTTCTTGTGACTATTCTCCTGAGTGGCTTTCCTGTTTCCAAGAAGCTAATGAATGCTATTTCTTAGGAAGAAAAAAATTCTTTTGACCATTTAGCCCTATTTGGCATTCCCCTCCACAAAACTGTAACTTTATTGAGAGGGAGAACAGAACTCAATCAACTAGAGTTGACCCCACCATCTTGTTCCCTTCTATGTTCCTCCACTCCAATGGAGGACACAATCACATAGAGGATAAGAGAGTGAAAAGGCCTAAAGTGGTGCCCAAACATTTGCCATTGCTAGTTCCCTTTACAGAGCCTTCACGAAATTATAAAGACACAACACAATTTTATTTACTGAAGAATCAATATATTGCCTTTCAAAAGAGAGTTTTCTCAAGGTGGCTTTCAATTAATAGAAACATCTAAAACTGATTTCTAAAAATATTTAACTTAAAACAACAGCATATAACACATTCTAATCAGCCAAAAAGCCTCACATTGTTTTAAAACAGATAAAAGACATATCAGATCCCACCTCATCATTTCAACTGATTTGAAATAAAAAAGGCATTTCAAACCCACTTAAAAGCGAACAGAGACGAAGCACACATTTCTAAACTGGCAAAAATAGCTATAGCCAACCATCTAATATGTAGATTGTTGTTGTATCTAATGCTCAGATGGTGGTGGTGGTGTCTACAATTTCTTGGCCTTGTGAAATAATACAGGTCCTGCCCTTATAGAAGAGAATAGGGAATGGAGCTCTAAATCATGGGCTGTTTCCCCATTCCTGCTAAGGAATAATGCATGTGTCTACAAAAAAGAGCAATCTCTTAATTTAGGTGTTCCTGGACTACAACGCCCATCATCTTTGACCCTGTTGGTCGTACTGGCTAGGGTTGATGGGCACTGGAGTCCAACAGCATCTGGAGGGACGCAAGTTCCCCGTCACTGCCTTAATTGGTTCATCTTTAGCTGTCAGACTAAAATGGGTTTATCTGCACACTGTTATCCTAATTGTAAGGAGTCAAGCGTAGGTTAGCAATAAAACACCCGGTGTCAGTGAAGTTAACTTTTTATTCAAAGAAGCCAAAACAGCACAGGCCTAGTGATCACAGCAACTCTTCCCAGTATGTATTGCTCCAATGGGGCAGTTGTGAGGACTGAAGGTCCCAATCTGCCTAAGTCCCCTCCTCTCCAGCATTTTTCCCAAGCAGTCATAAATTGCGACTGTGTACAACCAATCTCTTTTCATTTCTCTGCGTGTTCTAGGACACCAAGGGGAAGAGGAGCTTGTTGAGGCAGGAGGGGGAGACTCTATGGCTTCTTCAGCAGCTGCCTCATTGCTGCCTCTTGGCCCTCATCCACTTCTGCCTCTGAGCCTGGACTGCTCTCTGCCACAGACTCTTCCTGCTCACTAAACCCTGTTGCCCCTTCAGCTTCTGACACCTCCTCCTTCCAGTCTTCTCCTTCTGACCACTTACCATTGTCCCACAACCAGTCCCCTAGATCTGAGCCTTCTTTCCCTGGGGGTTCCCTTGGGGGTTCCCCAGCTGGTGCCTCCCACCACTCCTTTGTATCCAGACAGCCCATAAGACTGATGTGTACAGGCACATGAATATATGAACCTTCTTAAGTGCATGGAAAACAAATCCCAATAAACCTACTGATTTTTGTCACTGGAGTGCTCCCCACCCCACCCCAACCACAGCCAATGGAAAGTATAGAAAAACATTTGATGGGAATTCTCAGACAAACTTAATGTATTCTGCCACCACACATGTGGATTTGTTTTGAGACATTTTACTGTTCTGAGATGCATTTAATTTGGCTTAGGGTAGTAAAATGTCCTCAAACACTGTTTGTGTAAAATATTTTGCCCTGCTTAAGAGGCGATATTTATGTACTGCCACTTAGCAAAGCTTCTGAGGGGCTTACCCACACACCCCAACTCCAATCTCCTTTGCCCATAACAGTTGCCCTGTTAATTAACACATGGGAGAAACAAGCCACCTGAGCTGTTCTCTTGTCAAATAACTATGATATACTAGACTTCTTTGAAGAAAGAGAAAAGAGAAAGGTCCATGCTAATTTGTATTTCTCTCTTTTGTTGTTGTTCTTTCTCTTCCCACTTTCTGTATCCTTCAGTCTCTCCTCTTGGGTTAAATCTTGTTACTATTGTCAATATGAAAATCTGACCAACTTTTGTTTGAAGTTCCAAAGAAGGAAGGAAGTGGGTTACAGAAACACCCCGTGTGTAGCAGTCACCTCGAAAGAGGGAGGGGTAGGCCACAAAGAATTTTGCCGATCATACCTGACAACAGTCACATTTTGATTTCGGATTGTTTTGTAAAAATCCTGTGTTAAAGTTTGATGAAATCAAGAGTGAAATATAAGAAATATGGGTGATTTATGGGTAGCTAGTGGCTAATATTTAATAAAAGACAGAAACATGTAAAAGTCCTCCCGTATGAATGATTTTCTATGTTGCTGCGGACACACTGTACCTTTAAAGCACATTCAGAACACATCAATTATGGGCGCAGCAGTTTGTTAAGGGTTGATGGGATTTTTAATTCTCTGAGGGGTAAATTACACTGCCCAGAATACTTTGAGGGGAAGAATGGGCTTCAAACATACAGTGTGTACACAGCTGAAGTGGGGAGCAAATATACCACCACTCTACCCCATGGGTAGAGATAGGGGAAGTGGGTCTTGTCCTTCCTTTAACCTTTCACTATATTAGACAAACACTTTCCATGTCTCTACAGCAAACAATTCTCTCACATCCTCTTTCATTTCACATGACATTTCTCAGGATGACTGGCATTTAAAAGCCACCCAACTCGTACGGATATTTCACTGGAGAACAAACAAACAAAAACTTCACCCTTTCCCCACACCATCTTTAGAGCTGGACATAGGAACCAACTTCTAGAGGCCGTAGGGGCTTCAGCCCCCACAATAAAATATTTGAGGGAGCTGGGCCCCCCACAAAGTTGATGGGCATTGCCATTCAAATAGTGTGTGTGTATCGTGTGATCGATTTTGTGGGGCAGGGCTTACCTGGGCCCCCACAATATTTTATTCAAGTTGGCACCCCTGGAGCTAGAAGCGAGGGAAAACAGACAACCACCACCACTGAACATTTGTGAATTGCAAAGAATGTGTAGGAGTGTAAGTGTCTTAGCTTAGTAGCAAAACACTTTTGCATGCACAGGGAGTTCCAGATTCAGTCCCTAACATCTCCAGTTGGAAGGATCTCAGGACTGGAGGGCTGGGAAAGAACCAGAACTTTCAGTTGGGTTTGGAAATGAACCAGGACCCAGCAAATATAATAAAGTACTGGCATAACATGTTTCTAATGCCCGATGTGTTAGCACGCTTGCAGCCACATTGTGTACCAACTCAAGTTTCTGTACCATTTTCAAAAGCATTCTAAGTGAATAACTCCAACCAGAAGGTTACAAGGTCATGGCTCACTGAAGCCAGGCTCTCTCTGCCTAGATCAGGGGTAGTCAACCTTTTTATACCTACCACCCACTGATGCATCTTTCTTGATGGTAAAATTTCCTTACTGCCCACCAGTGCTCAATGGAAGGAGGATTCAACTTGTGGCATAGAACCCCCTACTGCCCACCTAGAATCCTGAAAGGCCCACTAGTGGGCGGTAGGGACCAGGTTGACAACCCCTGGTCTAGAGTGGTAATTGGCATACCACTCTAAGCCAATAAAAAGTGTTCTGAGCCTTCTTGTGTCTCTAGGGGCCAAGCAGCTCCATACTATGAAACCTTAAACATGAAACCCCCTCTAATATGTTGTACACTACCCAACCAAGCAGACAGATCACACAGTTATGGCACCTATACATTGACTTGGGTTTTGCCATCACCCAATCCATTACCATGGGCAAGAACTGATTTAGCACCCGACCTGAGTGGAATGAAAAAGAGAGATAAGTGTCATCCATCTACACAAGACAGTGCATTCCAAATTGCTGGATCAAAACTGAGATCCAGGCACTGAGTGCCTGTCGTGCTGCTCCCTGTACTTCCTTGGGCCTACCAAACAAGGATTGATCCAGTGGAGAGTGATGGTGAGCCCACTGCCTTTTAAATGTCCAACAATGCTCCAGAGTGGCACTTTATCAGGGCAGTGTGGGGAATTTTAAGTGGTGAGCAGCTCACAGCTGCCTGCTGATGATTGCAGTGCTGTTGTTCACTGCCAACAGTACGTCGCACACGCACAAATGACTCATTGCTCTGAGTTCGTGTTTCAAACCTGTTGAGATCTGCAGAAACCTAAATCCTGCCCCAGATAACAAGATCCAGTTCAAATTCCACGTGTTTGTCTGGAAACAAGATCTATGTCGAACGATACTGGAAAGAGTTGTAGCTAGCTCCTTGGTACTGTTCATAAACAGAGAACTGAATGATTTGCTTCTGTGTTTAGCAGGTGAATTGTTTTTATGTCCATCAGACCACTGCTGGGAATATCACCCCCACCACCTGCACCCGGAGTTTGAGACCTTTGGGGACAACCACTTTGCAGAGCTCCAAAGTGTCCAGCCACCTCAGTTGCAGCAGCTGTACCGGCATATGGAGATAGAACAGATGCATGTTCTAGATCCTGGGATCCCTGCCACACACTTTGGGATCAACCACAACCATCAGGTACAAGAAGCACCTTGTTATGTACCTCTGTAGAAATGCCTTATCGCTTTTCTTTCTTTTCTGAACACCAGGTTTCAGTATGAGGGAGAAGAGACCCTGGCAGGAAAAGTTATGGAAAATCTGATCCACAGTAGAAACTGTTGCTGTTCAATCAAACCATGATACTGACATAGATGAACAGAGATACCAAATGAGGGTTGAGATAGGTGTTGCCTGCAGTAGTTTGTAGCCTTCCCTTGACTTTAACAACAACACAATACAAGCTGTCACTTCAAGAGCCAAATTAAATGCAGCACTTGAAGTTGCATACTTATTCTTTTACTAGAAACAGGACTCTAGGGCAGGCATAGCCAAACTTGGCCCTCCAGCTGTTTTGGGACTACAATTCCCATCATCCCTGACCACTGGTCCTGTTAGCTAGGGATGATGGGAGTTGTAGTCCCAAAACAGCTGGAGGGCCAAGTTTGGCCATGCCTGCTTTAGGGCATAGAAGTTTTAATAATCCCTTTCTTCCTTGCTGTTGTCCCAACAATAATCACCCCCCTGAAGGTGCTATTAGCTCCAGAAGGGAAGTACCCATTGGCTCCTTATGGGGAAATGACAGGATGGAAGGAGTTCCATGACATTTCTTTTATCCAATCCAAATCCCACACACCGCTAAGCTTACCCCCCCATGCTTTCCCTCCTACCCAGCCTTAGTAGGCCTGCAAAGAGAAGTACAGTGGTACCTCGGGTTACATGTGCTTCACGTTACACACACTTCAGGTTACAGACTCCGCTAACCCAGAAATAATACCTCGGGTTAAGAACTTTGCTTCAGGATGAGAACAGAAATCGTGCTCCAGCGGCGCGGCGGCAGTGGGAGGCCCCATTAGCTAAAGTGGTGCTTCAGGTTAAGAACAGTTTCAGGTTAAGAACAGACCTCCAGAACGAATTAAGTACGTAACCAGAGGTACCACTGTAGAATGTTTTGCCCAGTGCTTTTTTCCTTAAAAAAATGTTTAGGGGTACTCTCATTTTCCTACTCATATTGAAATACTGCCCCTCAATGAGGCCAAACTTAGATTCACAGAATGTTGAGGGGTATGCATACCCCTGTGCCCCCCAGGGAAAAAGCCCTGGTTTTGCCTACACGGTGACTCAGAGAGCAGCTGGATTCAGTGGCCACTATTGGGTGTAACCAAACTGTTATGGCTACTCTGTTGTAGAGATGGGAATTTCCTTTCCATGGCAGAGAACACCAGCTCACCAAAGAGAGGAAAGGCACTAATATTTTTGGACCGTAAATTGAAATTGATTTAAAAAAGGAAAAAGCGGAGCAGAAACCTTATAAATAAATAAATAATATGAGCACACAAGAAGAGCAGCTAGGCAGGACAGAGTTAAACATCCTTTCCTTGCGCGATGCAGCCTCGAAGGAAATCTGCCATGCACCCACCTACCTAGAATTCCTCATGACGTAACGTAACGTAACATAACCACTTCAAGGTTTCAACCACTTTGAGGGTTGTTGTCCTTTTTGCAATCAAGTTGAATATAAATTTTACAAAATATATAGTAAAATAACATGTAGGCCCTCAGAAACTGGCTGTGTGTTTGTGTGTAAATATTACAAATTAAAACAGAGTTTCTTAACTCCACACTCACTGGATCCTCTTGTGCCTTAGGGCATCACGCTAACTTTATCTGCACTGCTTCCCACTCGGCATTGCTGGTGAAGGAATACATTTTCATTGCCTCTAAGAGCTTTCATAGGAAAGCAGATCTGCAGTTCTATGTGAGGGAGAATAAACATGTTACTCACATGGCACAGTGAAACAGTTACATTATCTTGCTGCTACTCAGCCCAGATGTGAAACCCATAATAGCTTTAATTGAAACCTCTTGAAAATTAATATTCCACTTGCTATTACCTCAGTAAATGATACTAGAAAGGGAAAAGACAGGCTGGCTGCATGAGGGGCAAAATTTCACAGGCAACATCGTCTTCCCTCTTGGCAGAGAGATTTTATTTATTTATTTATTTATTTATTTATTTATTTTTATTATTATTATTACTACACCCTTCATCTGCAGACATATAGAAGCATATATTAGTTTAAATAACTTACAAAAATGCATGAAACTCTCAACTTCCCTTGCCTCTCTACTACATAACCCCCCCCCCCATCTCTAAGGCTGCAGTTTTGTTTAACTATAAGGTGCTCAGTGTGACTCAGTGGATAAGGTCAGTAGTATTACCCTTGAATACTTGGCAGGAAATGTGCACACACAGTTACCCAATCCCAGCCCTTCCAACCTTACTCATCTCCAGACAATTTGCCAAGTCATTAACCGCTTGTTGCTGTGCCCCTGAAGCAACATAATTGCACATTCTTTACTGAGGCATTTCGGAATAACATCAACAGAAAAACATCAGATGTCCAATGCCTGACCTACTGGGCAACTGAAGTCATGGGCAAAGTTCCATTACTTATCTTATCTTTCAAGGTGCCCTTTCTGTCCCTCTTTGTTCCAAACACACTTGTGACATATTTCTTGTACATATGACCAAAGACAAGGATCAGGCATTTGCTTTTATGGACAAATAAAACAGTTCTCGTTCTCTCTCTGTTTTCCCCAGCGATCACTACTGTGCCTTTTTTGCAGGTAAATGCACCTGTGAGTTGGCACGCCAATCAAAATGACATATTTCTGAACTTCTCATGAGTTGTTTGTAAGAAAGGGCCACATCTACACTAAGAAGAGAGCTCAAAGCATGCTCACAGTGCTACAAGACCCTTTTAGTATTATAATATTTTGTTGAAAGCTGCCCAGAGTTGCTGGAGAAACCCAGCCAGATGGGTGGGGTATAATAATAATAATAATAATAATAATAATAATAATAATAATAATAAGTATAAGTATAAGTATAAGTATAAGTATAAGTATAAGTATAAGTATAAGTGTTTGTCTGTATGGATCCTGAGCATGCTAATGAAAAGAAATAACTTAAATGTGATTGACTGAGAGTTCTTTAATTTCCCATGTCACTCTTGCTGCGACATCCACCTTCTTTAATTGGAGTAGTTTCCATTCCCACCACAATCCTTTATCCCCAATACTTTCTTTTTTTGCTTCTGACAGGTTACATTTGTGCCTCGTACCGTGTGTGTGTATCCCTCTCACCACCGCAGTTCTGATGACGAAGATCCAGACAGACAGAGTCCACCACTGGAAGTATCAGATGGGGAGACTGATGTTAGGGAACCTGGCCCTGGGATTATAAGTGGAGAAGCAGGTAGGTGTTCAGCGCTAGGGATGCAACTCACTGTTGTGTACCAGTTCATCTTTTGGTTGCTTTATCATTACTCTAACTTGGTCTGTTGTGGTTCACATTTCATCAAATCTGGAGTATCCCAGCCTGGCATGGTGTTTTGCAAAAATAATATTATTTGTTATTCTCTTGACAGTAGCATGTTCCCCTTTTACATAACGGATATCATTATATTCCTATATTTTTCACTATTTACAATACTGCTACTGCTATTGATTGCCCATTATCAAGCAGCCATCCCCTGTCCCCCCCCCCAGCAGTTTTACTTTAAGCCTTATTTACTTGGGGTGGGAAACAAATCTAAAGATTTAAAAACATTGCCTGCATGTAAATGACAGAGATGACTAGCAAGACATCCCTGATGGGAATGGGCATTGTAACACAGTAACAAATCTCTATTGACTTCCCTTCCTCACGCAGAAGAAAAGATGGCAAGGCAATTGCTGCAAAATGCAAAGAAAGCAGCATTTTAAACTGACCTATATTTTGGATTATGCCATGTGTGCAGCAGCGGAGCTTCATGCTCCAGCACCAGGGGGCAGAGAGCAGGCTGGGCATGGCTGGCGCGCATCCCGGGGGTGTGGTGTGCCACCTGCAGGGGTGTGGTGCCCAGCACGGGCGGGGCCCCACCAGGACCGCGCTGCCAGGGGCGGTGCACTCCCCCTGCCCCCCTCTTCCTCCTCCAGTGCATGCGTTTGAGTCTGGTACAGAATGTTCATTGATGATGATGAAAGGAAGGATACAAAGTACACAGATGGGGTAACGTCTCCCTCCGCCCAGTGAAATGTTGCAGAGGCTGGATGGGTGGATTTTTCCTTAGCATTTTGCAATAGTGAAACTGACATAGCTTTTGTGCAGCAATGTATGAGACGCTCGGAGAAACTCAGAGAATAATCATTTATTTTTTAAAAAGAATGCATATGTGTTTATAAAACTACTCCCATTCAATGTTATTACTTTAACTCGCTGCCCAAACATTCCCACACACAATGATGCAATGCAGAACTATTTAAGTCGGGAGACAGGGTAAGAAATACAACAATGAATGTTAATGGCTACCATTGTCACCTCAATAAAATAGAGTTCAATGGGAAATAAACTTCAGCATATCTGAATTGCACAACCAAAACAATGACAATAAAGAGAGTAACGTTAGTTTAAGAAATCATTGTTCAATATGGCAAGGTTTTAAGGAAGCAGCATTGTTCATTCCATCAGATTGTGTGTGTGTGTGTGTGTGTGTGTGTGTGTGTGTGTGGTATCAATAAAAGCAACCTGCTTGCCTGGTAAGTGAGTGAACTGCTGCAGAGCTCGTGTCCCTGTTTGATTATTGCAAAATTCCCTACCATCCCTAATCAACACCTTGCCCCGTTCTACCTTTCTGTCCTTATTTCCTTCTCTAGCCTGCCAATGGCCATACTTCCCTCTTCCAACTCATCTATACTGAAAACCTCCTCTTTTCTTGAGCAACTCCCTTGCCATCCCTTGCTGCACATGCAAAAATTCCAGGTTCAATCCTGGCATCCTTACGTAGGACTTAGACTCCTGTCTGAAACCCTGGAGAGCTGCAGACAGTCATTTTAGACAACACTTCAACAAATTGTCTCATTTGGTATAAAGCAGTTTCTAAGGTCCTCACTAGAGCTGTGTGCAATTTGCCTCTCAAAATTCCCCACCTCATTTGTGAGGAGAAAAATTGGGGGGAATCATTTAACTGAATTACCTCAGCATGAAGAGAATTTCTCTAATTGTTTCTTGAGGGTGGTGCTCCCCATTCAACAGTGGCAATAATATTGTGCCATTCATTTTTTGTAAGTTTCTGTGTTTGTGCATTGCTGCAAGTGGAATCAGCAGCAACTATGATGGCAGTTTGGCCACCATTTTGCAGCCTCTTCCAGTGCTCTGAATCTAGCATTGTTCTGGGCTAGGGGTGGGGGATAGCAGCAGCCACAAATATGTGGCCTTTTTTTCTAGAAGAGGGAATGAGAAGAAGAAAAATCCCAGGAATCTTCTTTAAAAGATGTGACGTTTTGGCTCCTTTTCAAACACGGCTTACTTTATTTCTTCCTACAGGCAGCAAAAAGAAAATCCGACTGTACCAGTTTCTTCTTGACCTGCTTCGAAGTGGAGATATGAAAGATAGCATCTGGTGGGTGGATAAGGATAAGGGCACTTTCCAGTTCTCCTCCAAGCACAAAGAAGCACTGGCTCACCGCTGGGGCATTCAGAAAGGCAACCGCAAGAAAATGACCTACCAGAAGATGGCACGGGCACTGAGAAACTACGGCAAGACTGGGGAGGTCAAGAAGGTCAAGAAGAAGTTGACCTATCAGTTTAGCGGAGAGGTGATGGGAAGGAGTGGTATGGATAGGAAGCACTATAGTCTTTGAAGGAGAGACCCTGGAATAATGAAAAGCCAGATAATAAAGACACATGAGTTGGACTTAGCAGCAGAGGTTACCAAACACATCTTTTACTATGCTTCCAAAGCCCTCATCTCTATCTCATTGAGGCGAAATTTCAACAGTGTTTCTGGTACGAATTCCCTTCTTCAGCTTTGAAATTCCTACAGAACCCAAATGCAACAGGTTGGACACCGCAGGGATTTTCTTTTTTTAAGGGAATGTATAGATATATTATTTTCAGAAAATATTTCATTGTGCTGTAATTAAAATTTGCAGCTGACGGAAGTTTTTTGTCCTTCATAGGCAAGTCGCATTTCACCTTCAAAGACTCTGCCTTAGCTTACAGCTTAAAACTAGCATTAATACAGGCTCTGCTATAGTTCTCCATGGCTAGAGAGAAGTTTGCAGATCTTGGGAATATCTTACTGTGCAAATATTAATAACGTGTAAATATTTAATAAAATCAGGTTAAGAAAAGCGTATTCCTGTAGTAATCTGTAATGGCTCATGAGTAAGTCTTGCAATCCACAACACAGACTTATTATTAATCTGTAATGGTGCATATCTGGAGCCCAGATTTATTATTAATCATTCAAGTATAAAATGGTTAAATTGTAATGTGGAATTATTCATTTACTTAGAACGATATATATGATGATTTCAGGTGTTATTTTCACAATTTCCTGGTATATGATTCATCAGTGGCAATCTTCAGGTTGTTAAAGTGTTGGTTTAACTCTCATATTCTCCCCCTTTTTCCCCTTTAAAAAAACTGTAGAGGAAAAGTGATTCCCAGTAATACCATAGCAATGAAAGATCCATAAGAACACAGGGAGTTGACTTATAATATACCAAGTCAAAGCAGTGGCCCAATACCAGCAGTATTGTGTACACTCTTAAGGGGTTTTCCAGACAAGGCTCCTTCCCTGCACTGTCTGGACTTGGAGATAGCAAGGTTTGTACCTGGGGTTTTCTTTTTGAATGTTCAGACCCAGAAACCTCCCCCCTAAATAAATTCACACTTGACTCAAATTTTGGTTTTGGTTTTTGGCAGAATTTAGGCCACAACTTTATTGATTACATAAAGTGAATGGTTGCATAGGCTCTGGTTTGACTAGCTCCCTGCCATGCAGGTAGCGCTGACCCAGGGTTCCAGCATAGGTCAGCCAAGGGTGAACACCTGGATAAGTGGAAAGCCAGGAATGGGCTGATTCTGCCACCCAAATGTCCCCCTGGACTCAGGCACAACCCCCTCTCAGGGGTTGACCAAACCATCGAGTCCCTGGATTCCTTTAGCGGAATACCCTTCAAATAGGGATGGTGAGAGCATTCTCCCATCCCTATCACCAGAACCAGAGCCTATCCTCAACCTTACAAGTTGTGACGATTTGCTACGCGGTAGACGAAACCCAAATGGCAACAGCCAATCAGCAAAGTGGGGAAAATTCCTGCCATGCCCCTGTCCCAACGACAGATGACACACGACAGCATAGCAAGGTCAAGCGCAAAGCCCTAAAAATAGGAGAGGTGGGTGGGTGTTCCAAATGCATGGGCCGAAAGAGGAAGCTCTGGGTCATGTGCATGGGTATAAATAGGTCACTCAAACTGTTTGGACTGTGTCCCATTGGCCAGATTGCACCCAGCTACAAGGGACCTACCAATCGGGTGTTGTGGCTGACCACTCGTACCCACCCACAACACAGGGGGTCGGTTGTCCAGGTCTCACCGCAATACATGCCCTCTTTAAGGGAGGACCCGATGTGCAGAACATGTGCTAAAGACCCAGACCTCAGACTGTATACTCTTCAGCATTGTACCATGTAAGTATGACAAGCCAGAGCAGCAACAGCAATAGCAGAGCTGAAGCATCTTTCCCACCTGACCTTATAAGTCTCTGTTTCATGCAAACATCAAGATTTCTATATTGTTTCATTCCAATCTTCCTTTCTGTATATAGGGTGAGAGTTAACACCTGCACTCTTTCTCATGCCACTGAGTAATATATTTTGGTAAAGGGGTGCATAAAAATCAACATATTAATAAAAATAACATACAGAAAATGCATTTTATGTGGGAGAAATTGCATGCAAAACTCTAGTACATGAAAAATGTGTTCACCAGGGAGAAATTCACACTAAAATGCTGAATAATTGTCATGGTAATTTCTACAAATAAAACATGCAAATTGCTGCAGAAATGTGGAGAACTGAACTGAAGACTGGAAAAATGAGAAACTGGAAGCAAAATTGGCAGGATCTTTCCATCCCTTGTTTTCACTCATTAACATTGTTTCACTGAAAGTAATTGCAATGAAATTTCAGGATTTCACTCACTGCATAGGGGAGGGTAGCACTGCAACGGGTACCTCAGTGTCAGAGTAGACATTTTATGATAGAACACATTAAAAATAATTGTGGATATAATTTCATTTTCATTTCAAAGATTTCCCCCCTCTTCCTCCTCTTTTCTAAAAATATTACATTTGACATTGGTTAGAGTTTCCACCACAGCTGTGAAGGGAGCCTCATGCTCTATCCAGCTGCATTTATCAGTCTACATTTGTTTTACACACCTGCATCTTTCCAGACTGGCAACCGTTCCATCAAAGCTCTGTCACTGTGATCTAGTACTGTAGTTCTTTATCCTTACACACACATTCCACTCTCCTATATTCAGGGATTCCTGATTTCTGTGTGCACATTGCTACTTTAGAGCACAGGGAAGTTGTCATCCCACCCCAGCAGTGTGTTTCACAGATCTTTCTCTCCCAACTGTTCACATCAGCACAGCTTCATTAGTGTCAAATTTATTTCAGTTTGTGTATAAACCAGGGAGTGTTGATGGGGCAGGGATGTCTTTACCCTGTGCAAAGGTATCCACACCTTGACTAGAGATTAATTAGGAACCACTTAAGGATTCCAACTGGAGCGAAGCTTGTTTGAGAAACAACGCATCAAAAAGTTTACACTTCTGTGTAACAAATGCTAAGGACAAGCAACACCCCAGCAAAGTGTTTCCTGTGTTCTTAGAGCACTGGTGTCTATTACTTTCACAATTCCCATATCACACATTGGAACAAATAACCATTAAATGATTATGTTTCAGCCTTATTGAGGAAGACCTTGGGGTTATAATGGATTACATGTTACATATGAGTCAGCAATATAAACTTCTTCCTAAAAAGGCAAATGCCTTGTTCAGTTGCAGACGTAACACACGCATGATACAGGAACTGTGACAGAAAGGCTGAAATCTAACCCTGAGGCAAGGACTTCCTTTCACCCTGCTGTTGGTAATGTTAGTTGAGAAGTAACCAGACTGCAGTTTGCAAGCTTTTAAGATGGGCATAAACAAATGGAATGAAGTGAGCCCCACTGAATTCCATGAGATTGCTTCTTGGTAAGTATGTACAGGATTGCAGCCTCAACAGTTCTCAGACTCTTGCAAGTGTAGGAACCAACTCCTAGGGGCCAAGGGGGCTTCCCACACAATAAAATATTTGAGAGGGCTGCCCCCCCCCAAGTTGATGGGCAATGCCATTCAAATGGTGTGTGTGCAGTGCATCATGTGATTGATAGTGTGGGGTGGGGCTTACCTGGCACCCCCCCATATTTTATTCAAGTTGGCACTCCTGTTTGCAAGTGTTTAACTGCAATTCTTGCAAAAGGTTTGAAGCAAAGCACTGACCTCTGCTGCCCCCCCCCTTCTACCAAACCCCCAAACTTACCCTTGGGAAGATGACTACAGTGGAGGCAGGCACTGCCAGAATCTGCCAGATTCTCAATTTCTACAAAGGCTTGGAATCTGTGGCAAAAATTATAAAAGCTAGCATCAGCTTCTAGCCAGGAATTCTGAGACTAGCCCCAGCGCCTGGTAAAGTTATTGGTTTAGGGGAAGGGGGAAAGGACTTACAGGATCCATGTGGCACCATGGGATCTGCAGAACCATACTTAAATGCAAAGAATACAGTGTATAGGATATCTAGCCAAGTCCAACAGACAGCAAGCAATTGCCAACTCTTCTCACCTCTGAGCAGCAGGACTGGGCCTTTCCATCTGTTTCACCTGGCCTGTGAGTAATAGCAGGAGGCCCTTGTGCCCGGGGGTGGCGATATCAACTAGGCTCTGCAAGCTCACCTGCTGCAATGGGAGTGGCAAGAAATTGACAGATTTGAGCTAGGCCCCAGAAGATTAAGGCTCACCTAAGACCTACTGCTTCTGGTGGCTTAAGAGTCATTTTCTGGGAAGTTGGGGTCACCGTCTTGCCTGGTCTGAGTTCCTGTTGCTGGCCATTTTGGACATGGTAGTCCAACTCTTCGACTCCAAGCGTTTTCTTATCTAGCTAATATGCTGTTCCCAAGCAGCTTTGCTCTTTACATGACAGCCTTTTCTCACCTATAGTCCCCTGGAAAGAGTCATACTCCAGGGGTCTCCACCAAACCAAGTAAGTAGGGTAACCAAACCAAGTAAGTAGGGTAACCTTTTTGGTAATAGCACTCTATCCCTGGGAGTTTTGTCTGGCACCATCTTCATTGACTTTTCAGGTGAAGCACTCTTTATTCACTCAGGCCTAGGCCTCTCTGTTTTAAATTGAGTTTTAAACTGTTTTCATCGTGTTTCAGCTTCTCAAAAATAATTTATTATACTCCCCCCCCCTTATTTTATACTGTATTTTAATTTAATGTTGTATTCTTTTGCTTTGCGGCAGATGTTATGTGGCAGCTATATAAATGTAATAAATAAATAAACATAATAATAATAATAATAATTAATAATAAAATAAGTGAATAAATGTATACCCCGTCCTTCCCGGTTCAGAAAACCAGGCTCAGGGCTGCTAACAACAAATTTAAAACACTTAATTGATGCAATAGTAATAATTAATAGCAATAATTCCGTAAAATTTTACATCACTTTCAAGTGCTCAAAATGCCTCATATGCATTATCTACTTATAATACTTAACAGCAACAGTGTAAGGTAAATCAGCATTATTAAACCCCCCCCCCCCATTTTTTATTTTTTATTTTTAGGTAGTGGGGTTGAGGCTGGGGACGAGTGGCTTGGAAAAGGCCACTGAGTTCCTGACAGAAACAAGATTTGAGTGGGGAACTTTGAGATTCATAGCTCAGTCTCTTAGCCGTGATAATATGCCACTATGTGTGGTCAATCTCTGGGTGGCAAAATAAATGTTATCCATTGCACTGAGGCGGAGTCTGATGGCTTGAAGCAAACCTTATAAAGTTCAGTGTCCAGTTAATGACCTCAAAACTCCTTACAAAGGGAGATGAGTGAGCTCTGAAAATTGGAGTATGTCTGTGAAGGAACATAAAACTCAGCGCAGACTGGGTAATATGTATTATCATTACAATGCTGCCATCTGGTAGCTAGCAGCACAGTAGCAGCGGGGGGCAGGGGGGGCATAAATCATTCCTTGTCCATGTGTCCTTTGAGCATGAGGATGAGATCTGA